TCACACAAAGCGCTTATCAAAGGCTGAAGTTTCATATCCACCCACATTTTGGCTGTTCCCGTTATTCACCACCAGGTATTCGTTTACCGCGATTATTTGAACGTAGAATGAAGCACCTACCGCCTGATGCAGAAAAGAGAGATAATTGAGTTCCGGTATTTTTGTTAACCGATATACCTGAAAAAGTCCTATTCAATGTCACTTTCCCACCATCTGTCCGATATTTGAGGCAAATAGCTTGTGCAACTCATTCTAAGATAGCGCTACTCCAGATTACAATGGTCTAATTTAATCCGGCGTGCAACTCAAAACACATCCGGTTGATTGTGGGGACGAAAGTTCATCCAGATGGCAATACAACAAAGAAGACACCACATAACCCTGACCCAAGAAAACACAAATGTCGCCTTCAATTATGATCTGATTTCTTAGAATAATGTGGTACTTTGAAGTTGCAGTTGGACTCTCATCCAGGTCTGATTTGAACATAGAACTGTCATTATGGGGGAAAGTGCGACGAGTGTGGATTTCACTTACATTGTTTGCAAAGAAATACTCCGGAAATTGGTGGTCTGAGCATCTGTGTTTGTGACACGAATCACAGTCCCCATTCAATTCTACCGGTAAAATGGAGTGATCGAAAGTTTGCATTGTCCCGTCGGTCGAATAAAAGGAGTTTTCTGTATAAACGTGCGAGTTGATGATTGGTCCGTCTAAATCCGTTAAAACTTTGTCTCCTCAATCCTGACAGAAACTGACACATCCATAAACTCCAAGAAAAGGGTTGTAGTCATTTGATAATTTACGTCTTCCTTGCGCTACTCTCCCTCACCCCTTGATCATCAATGATCACTGAATGCTTTTTGTGAAAATCATAATCCGATTGACTGCAAAACTAAACATAATAAATGGGGCTCATTTACTGTTCCAAACCAGTATGTCTAAACGTATTACTCATCCAGGCAAAACGAAGATAAATATAACCAACAACAATGTCCTACATCGAGTTCAACGAAAACCCGGGATGAAATGACTGATTATATATGATTTAAGGCATACCATACAGTTTGCAATAATTATCCGTTCTTCTTGATGTCGAGACAATATCACATTGCCTGACGACATTCACTGATATTTGGGGATAACTGAGCGGTACTCTTAGTTGTAATTTCTTATTCAAGCTTTTAGGGGACTGTGACCATCAGTGGAGCGAGATCATATCGAAATTACCATGTCACTCTCTTGTTCTGCATTGATTTGAACGCTCCGCAAATAGAAGCCACTGTCGCAATCAATCCAAACTAAATCTGCTAGCGAAAGTAAATTAGACACCAGTAAACAGTTGCGTAGGTGACAAGCTTTTTCTTGTAACCTATCAAACCTTTAGATTTTTCCGCAGCCAATGGTCCCATTTATTATCCAACTAGGTATACTTACTTATAACGAAACTAGAAAGGAACAATTCGGAGACTTACTTTATACAACTTTTCCACATCAACCAAAACCATATGTGTAGGTATTCTATAAGCATCCAATGTGTTATTCCACTAAAAAGTTAAAAATCATGAAGGAATGTTTAACAATGGTGAGTTGTGTGAAAGTCAAGAACGTCCAAACGCTATCCAGAATTTTACTTATCAGTACTTAGATCAGCAGCTTAGGCTGTACCAGATGAAAACATGATACCAGTTTTGCTGTGCGGGCCTTCAAACGGTTAATCTGATTTTGCATAGAAAGATTCGGCGTTTTGTTTTAAACAAATCTGTGTTATTTCACATGTGGTTCGTAAGACTGACCTGACCAGAAAACTCACAACCACTTATTTAAATACAAACTTGAATTTTTTCCACTTTACCTGCGTCATGGCTGTGAAAAAGAGTTTCTTTGGTTCACACTCAGCATTGTGGCTGGTCGAAGAGTAAACTAGTAATTCGGTTCCAGAGAATAAATTAAAATTAAAATGAAGTTAACCTGGGGGTTGTTAAAGTTGAGCGTGGGCTTTGAAGTTCGAAGCCCACAATCACCGCCAAACTGAGGGTGATAACCAACTACACAAATTAAACCTAGGGCCCATAAGGTCGATAATTCTGAGGTAACACTTAGTTCCTATGAATACGAGATTCTTAATTCTGTTGTTACTCACCAATGTGTGTGACAAAATGCGAAGAAGTCCGGGTATTTCATGAGTACTTGGCATGTCATTCATTTGCAAGTTGTCGTACTCAAAATCGGTTTCATTGAAAATGTAAACATCGAAGTATTGATTGGATAATCGGAGAGGTGCTGATTGAGGCTAAGGCACATATGGCTTATGCGTTCAGATCTCCTGATGGATGTTGCATGTGTGCTGAAAGCTCAGCCGAACAACAAAGTTTCGACGTCCGAATGATTTCAATCTAATCTCAAAAGGGTTTTCCTCACCTTATCTCTTCCTTTGTCTCAATATATTATGAATACTGTTGATTTAACTTCTATTAATACCATCCTTGATTTTGAAATTCTTGCAAAACTCGGGAATGTTGAAGGACTTACCTCTAACACTCTCACCTTCTTTGTTTTCACACGTTTTCATGCTTTCGGAAGGAATTGTCGATCGTCGGATTAAACTGATCATAAAAATATGTCCGCAAATACAAACTTAATTACTAAAAATTTACGTATTTTTATCACATTTTACTTTCAGATATTCCTCTGTGAGGAATACATAAAGGACTGGCGAATTTCCGTCACCCGCCGTCGTGTCCTACAAGTAGTTACCGAACTGGTCGTATGCTCAATTCATCCTGTACCTGGTATTGATTTGTTTTTTCACAAACCTCATCCAATACGACTGCCACCGCCACCACCGGCGCGTTACTACAGTCAACTAGAAGATACCTTCAGTCCTTATCTTTTGCTCATCTTGCCCATGATTGGACGATTCTATTTGGCATTTCGTGCGCTTTTGCTGCATTCGAAAATGTTCAATGATGCCGGGTCTCGGAGTATTGGAGCGATGAACAAGGTGAGCATTGGTTCAGTAAACAGCATACAAATGCATCCCATGCTTAGATGTGCAAACACACAGTGTGATATAACAATGTCAACAGATGAGAGTAGCCGCACTTTATCCACTTTTTGCATAGATTACTGCACAAGCATGTGTGGATGTAGAGTTTGCACCACAACCCAGCTGAGGTAACAATAAGAGGAAGGAATACAGGGTCTTGCATTTGATGACGGATTTCTCTTAAAAGTTTAACTTTTGTGTGCTTACCAACGGAATACAGAGTGGCTAACAAGCTCATATTCACTGAGTCGTAAATCTGCCAATGGACGGTTATATATAAAATAGATATTTTATATATTTATATATAAAATTAACATACATATATATTTACATATATATATATATATAATATCCGTGGTCAAACATTAAATGGTTTCAGGAAGGGACAATTGATATCTTAGGTTATTTGGGGCTAACTTCGTCATGAGACCAGAGTTCGGATTCGCAATGGTCACATAGTTGCTTATTCGTTCATTCACTCGTCGAGACTACTCGGAGTATGAGGGGTTGGTGGTGACCATAGGGGCTTGAGTGCCTGCACTGATTGCTTTCGGGCACAAATAAGAAGTGTGTGCAGATGAAATCCTGCCGCTCCCACTGTGGCACGCATACTTTAATAGTCGACCGTGGACTTCATGTGAGCAATTGCCGTTCCCATAATAGAATATTCAACCGGGGTAAAAGACCTCCTACAATTTCCTTCCAAAATGAAAGACAGCCAG